GGAGCTGTTCCCGAACTTTCAGATCAGTATGAACGCAGCCTTTCCCCCATTAGATTCGCTTCTGTAACGGTGTGCGTCGTTTGGAGCCACCACTGAGTGCATATTTTTCACATATCACGTTCCTGAACAACAGAGTGATATCTATTGTTATTTCCAAGTAAGATGGTAGAGTTTCAAACCACGGCATATCTGCGAAACTTGAATTTGCACTCAAGAAATTTTGAGCACTAGCTACATCCCAGTCCTCGCATTATTTGAGCGCAGTTCAGAGTTAGTTAAACGGACATACCTTGGCAGTGATGTGTTACTAATTCGAACATCTCGAGAGCCAGCGTATAGTTTTGCCAGAATGCTCTTAATTTCTGATATCATTTGTTCATTCTCTCAAGCACTGGAAATGAGCCAAAATGTAGATGAAGACTACACAAAAAAAGAAAATAGTGGGAAAAGGCAAGGCTGCGAGCCAGTTTTTGATGCGTTTAATAAATAAGGTTGCTGACACGTAACTAACTACAGTAAATATAATTTACACTTTGTACTGCAAGTGTGATGCCAACAAGGGATTAGTTGAGAGTCGAAATAGCATTTTCAAAAAGAGCATTATTGGACGCTGCTTACAGCTCTGATTACAAGTCTAAAATTTTTCTTATGCTAACCGTTTTTGTAAGCGACCGAAACTGAGAAAATATCGCGTGTTAAGTGCAAATTTAGATAAATATGAGTACACGCTGAGCCCGGCGGTCAGTCGGCTTATGAAGAGTTTTATGGAGTCCATACCACATAGAAACTGAGCTTGAAAAGCATCTAAATTTTCCTCGAATACGGAGTCTCCTCAACTCCTGCTCATAAAAATGATGCAAAGGCGTTCGGCAGAAGGAAAGACAGATATGGAACCAGCGATTCTGCTCCGCTGTTAAGGATGGAGTTTCTTACGAAAGCCACTTGGATTACTGGCTCAAGCGAGCATGGTTCTTGTAGAAATCGAATATTTCGTATCTTGAAGAGGGACCCTACTAGTTTAGGTGCAATCTCGGAGTGCAAATGAACGACGGAGAGACTTTTCTTAGCAAGAAAAAGTCAAATCTAGGATTGTACTACGAAGTGTTTCGCATATGGTAAGTACCTGGACAAGTATAAAACGATCATAATACATTGACAAAAACGAACATACTCAGTCAATTTTTATGCTATACTTGGTTCTTACTGTTAGATTCATGGAATTTACGTAATTGCCAAAAATGTGGGACTGTATTTGTACGGTAGTAATATAATGAGACTGTATCCGCATGATGAATCGGCGGAGGAACTAAGTTTAATGAAACCGTTTGCGTTTTCACTTACCCTTTGCTTCAACCAGACTGGCTGCTGGAAGGCGGGGCTTCATGACCTAGTGGGCGACTGCTCGCGTCCGCGACGCAGTCTGCGTCTCCGACGCGAACATGCTCTTTGATCATTTTTTAGCCTTAATTACGTCAACAAAGGGTACTACCCTTCTCTTAACTTTTGCGATCCACACGTGTGTTACTGGTACCTGAATGATTACTGAGAGGGGCATAAAATTCATAGATACCGAGACATGATACTAAGCCAGTACTGATCCTTTTAGCGGTACACAATTCATGAAGCGTTGGTTAGAACCTCCAGTGACATTTACTGATCTCTGGTACCTGCACTCAAAACAATTAGTATCAATTATACGATCGGCTTGCAGAATAGCCGCGTCAAAGTAATTTGCAATTCCGATGGTGCACTTTCACGAAAACAAGAAAATCTGGAAGTCAATCTAGAAATCTTGTGAAAGAAAGCATCAAAAGCATCGATTGTAGCCGCATAATAAAAACCTTTGGATGAGATTCACCGCGCAGACTTTCGTCAACAGATTTGATTTCACTAACCTACTTGGGATTTCTCAGATAACTGCCGCTCAGACTGGTCCCCAATACCATCAACAAAACCATAGTGTAGATCTCTGATGTGTATACAACTCGCAAGTTGGAGTCCCATCAGTCTTGACTTTGCCTTGGAGTACAGTAAACATCCAAGTAATGAGCAACTGTTGATGACAGCGTTGTTGTTGAGCGGTGGGAGCTGTTTTGTTCGTATCACTTTACTATTCTATACATTAATGGTGCTGACATAAGTGTTTCTATGCAATGACAAGACTCCATAGCTGAATGTTTGGTGTTTGATTTTCTCATGAAACATTGTCGAAATTCAGCTTTTTGAATATTAAAGAGGTGTATACATAAGTCATCGGTAGAGCGATGAATAATCAACATAAAGAAAGCGATAATCTGGTGCTAAAGCTCGAAAAATGCCAGCTAGAATTTAACCCAAGTTGCATGAGGAGTTGACCTAACTTGAAACTTTACACTGGCATAATATACATAATATACAGGGTGTCCTAAAAGTAAGTACACGCTTTCTAATCGGTAATTCTTCCTATGAAGTTTTTTGCGTAGCATTGAGTACCATTCAGTAGAGTAGGCTTCAATTTAGATTTACAGTATGGAGTAAATTACTGACCTCTCTCTCTCTATTACTGTCTTACGGTAGGAACTTCCAGCATACAGCACCATTTTGAAATAAGCCGTGTGAAAAAAAAACCCAAAAAATAAGCTGCGTAGCAAGTTCATATTCAAAATCAGCGACTTATTCAGCTACTCAGTTTGGCCTAATGATAAAGTTTTCAGCTTGTTGAGTACTCATGGGGCGAAATGTAGCCAATTATGGGTCAGTCCTCTTCGAAATTCCTACCGTAATCCTACAGTAATGAAAAGCGATGGGTGACTCGTTCTATTCTGTGAATTTAATTAGAACTCTGCTCTGGCGCAAGGTTGAAGCTAAGCAAAAGACTCTGTGGGGAAAATTATCAAGAATAAAAAGTGTGGATTTACTTTTGGGACAGCCTGTACATTGGATTTGCTAAAAATGGGTCAGTTTTGAAGTCATTGAAGGGTTTCTGCTTTGTCTTGGATCAAAGTATTACACTTGACTTTTGAAAGAACACATCTAGCATCAATCATCTTCGCTATAAGCTAACCTAATGATCTCAATCACTATCGCTCGTGATTTTGTACAGATAGAACGATGTGAGTGCTCTGCGCTCAAATCTTTGTTCTCACATATCCAGCTAATCGCAGATCTCCACTGTACAAGGTGGACTTTCCAGCTGACGTTTTGAGCTAGCAGAAGAAACAATCCCTTTTGAAGCCGCGAGCTAAGTCAATAGCACACCAGATTTGTCTCGTCGGAGTAACTCGAGATCTTTCGCTGCAAAAATGTAGCAAAGACGGATAGCACAAGTGTGGCGACAAGAAGGAGCTTTTTAGAGGTTGGAAAGCTATTAGCGAGACAAAATGGGAGAGCTGGATGTATATTGTCAAGCAGTACATATATGTGAAATGCAAGCGGTTTCGCAGAATTATATGTCGCCAAATGTATCATAACTGGTGGCCCTATTTAATTTTACGAAGTATTTAATTGAATTGACCAATACTTGTACTTCTACTTCTCTATATTACACTTTTTCAACATTTTGTAACTATGAAAATGAATTTCGGCAGCAGACATGGAAGAAACTACACAACCGCTTTCACTTAGAACCTTTATCGTTCCCAAGACATGTTTATGAATTTAAGGAATTGATTTTAATTCCTGAAAGTGCACCATATCTGTCATTTGACTCAATCTCCAATTAAACTGTGCCAAACATTTACCATTCATGTATTCGGTTGACTGATAAATGATTTGGTCGCTTTCGCAGCTCCTATAGATGCTGCAGACAAATTTTTGTCCAACGATATACAGGGCGTCTCAAAAGTATGTATACACTGTTTGATCGTTAATGTTTCTCTTCCCAAGAAGTCTTTTGCCTACCGTCAGGTACCGTTTTGTAGAGCTAGTTTTGCTTAGATTTACAGTATTGAGCGGACCATCGATCGCCCTTCGTTACTGTAGGATTACGGTGGGAACTTTTGGCTTACAGCGTCATTGCGGATTAGTCGTGTTTCAAAGAATGTTTACAAAAATTCTGAAAAGTGGTATATCAAGCATTTTACGCGCTCTAATTTCATTAGTTAACTTTTTACGAGCTTGTAAAGCTTTTCGAATGATGTAGTCACAGTTTTAGGGAGCATTGTAAAGACAGCTAATGCGACCTGGCATAATTTATGAAGGAACCCTTGCGGTAAAATGGAAAGCTCACTTTTGGTTTTGCCAACTCTAATTAGCATAGTGTAGGAGTTTCCAGGTTCTTTGGTTTGCTTTCCGAAGCAAAACAAAGCCCTTAATGGCTAAAAATCCTTCTTGAAGTTCCTACCGTAATCCTACAGTAATGAAGAGAGATTGGTGACTAGGACCATACTGCAAAACTAAGTTGAAGCCAGCTTACAAAGTGGTACCTGAAGGTAGGCAAAAGACTTCTTGGGAGAAGAGATATCAACGATCAAATAGTGTAGACATACTTTTGGGACACCCTGTACCTCCTGCTGAAAATCATGGAAGATAAACAACATGAAAAAACTTTGTGCTGTTCATGCCAGAACTAAATTTTAACATTTCTGAACTCTGTCAAAACATGAATTTTCGCCCCCTACTTTCCCCTCGCAAAAACACACAAATTTTGAGACCATCATCTCTATGCGTCACAATATCCAACAGACAACAACAGCTGAACAGAGATCTCTGGAAGCAACTGCGACGCGTTTAGCAAGGTGGAAATACCGACGGAGCTCGTGACACACTCACCATTCGCTAGCCGATCTCCTAAGAACTTCGGTGTTTTCGGCGAAATGTGTTTTCCTGCGGCACGAAGAACCGTCCTCTTGCTGGAATATAAAAGAGCCGGGCGAGAGCTAGGAGTCAACAAAATCTCCAGCCTCTCATTCAGTTGTCTGCTTAGAAATCGCAAGATACATCCTATTCTTATTATCTCTCGACATCACCGTTTTCCTACGATCATATCTTCATAACACCCACTTCTCTTTACAGAGTCAGCGCTAAAAAACCTAAAATGAGCATCGCCGTAGAGCACGCTAAGGAATGGGACTGGCCCCTTCAGCACAATGATGACAGCGTGAAGGTCATGGAAGACGATAGGAAGTTCTCGGTTGAACTGGATGCGCAGTATTTCTCCCCAAAAGAAATTCAAGTGAGTTTTACTTTGGAACTCTAACTTTATTCTATCTAATCGAAGCCATCAAAATTTCCAGGTCAAAGCTATCGGGGATCAGATCCAAATTCAAATGGACCATGAAGCAAGAGGAACCGATAAGACAATTGTCAGCAGATCCATCACCAGGTAATTTTACGGTAGAATTTGATCAATATACTGGAGAGGGAGGGCAAGAAAGATTTTTGGAGTTTGATAACACTATGTAGTTAGAGTTCTGCATCTTGAACGGCACAGTATTTACCGTTGATTACTTCATACCCCTTCAATATTTCCTAAATCTGTAAATGCTCGGAAATTGTGAAAATTCTTCTTACTTCAAAGCTACCTTTCAGAACATACAATCTTCCCAGCAACGTCGATACAAAGTCAATCAAAAGCAACCTCGATGACAAAGGTGTCCTCCGCATCACAGCCGATAAGAGCTAAACTATTCTATATCACACAATTCGCTATTATATTGTATATGTACAGACATAATGTCCTTTCTTGATTGGTTTGGTTATAATAAAGTGGATCTTGCTGTGCTTGGAACATGAAAGTCGAACTTTGTTCCCATTTTACCAAAATTAAACTTTTTCATATGTGAGCTAGAAATCTTGAGTAAATCGAGCAGAGGAAACTCAGATCATATGAACACTAGTGTCGAGGAAAGTTCGCATAGGGCTTTACTGTTTCCCTGCCAAAAGGCCGGGCATACTTCACGCGATTTCAGTCGCGAGCGATTTGGCAATTCTCCAGAAGTCTTCGGATTCAACACTAGCAAATTGCACATGCGTAGTGTTAACTTACTTGGATTGCTAAAATGCCCTATTTTCTGTACCTTTAAAATGTGCTCACAATGAGTGTGGACAGTTGGAATATTGCCATATCGCGTCGCTACCGAAATCGCGTGAAATATGCCCGGCCCTTAATTGACTGAAGCCGAAATAGAATCACGATTGCTTATAAATTCAATTATTGCTGTCTTCGCAATTTTTTCTCTACGCATATTTGGAAACATATATTGAGGATTATCAAGCACGGGAGAGTTTCTCATCATGCATAAATGTCTCCGCTCTCAAAACGTGCAACCTTGATGCTATCTGCCCATACTGTAAGGGATTTTGGAACTACTTTTGAAAGGAACATTACGAATGCCCGTGATCTTTGAAAATAAGAATAAGCTATTAACTCGTTTATTAGTGGAAAAGGCCATCTGATTTCAATACTTCTTCGACTTCTGACTTAAGACGGTTGCGGCGCAGTTGGTCATTTCAGTAACCCTACCTGGACTAACGAAAGCATACGGTAGCAAAAAGACAAGCAAAAAGGAACACAAAGCAGTTGTTTTCTCAATAGCCAAAATACAAGGGCTGATCGCTCCAAGCAAGGGCTGTATAACATGAAGTTTATGAAAACATCAGCTATGCAGTGAATGAAAAATCCCATTCACAATAGCTTTTTGGAACCAGAGATTCAAAACAGAAATTGAGGCAATGTTATTTTCTATGTCGTGGAAAGTAAAAAATGGAAAGGGCAAATTACCTCGACCCCATCGAAATTTATTTTGCTCTATTGAAAAGCAATGTTTGAAGGTTTTGTACTTTCAATACAGAAGGAAAAATATCCACACTTGTTTCTATTGAGAATCGTTAAAAAGCTTTAGAGTGTGTGCCACATGGTTGAGGATTTGGAGGTATGCCACAACAATTCAAAGGTTTTTTCGTAGAAGTCCACCTTTCATCAGCGCCAGTCGTAGAGTGCTGCCACCATCATAGGCGAGATTCACCCGACTATTGGCTTTTCATGCTATTTAACACTGTTGTCTGACTGTTGTTGAATGGCATGAAAAGCCTTAAAGGCACTTTCCACCTTAAGTGAGGGTCTTGAGCTTTTGGCAGCATATGATAGTAGGGTCCCCAAACAAGTCAATGGTCAAGTCGCGTCGTAAAATGTTGCTTCGGAAACGAGAAAATCGCTTTGGAATAACGAAGATGCACGAGAACCCTCAGACAACACCGCCCTCCCCATCCATGCCCGCCCATTTGGCGCGCTCATCCAATCACCGTTCAGGAAAGCCGGCCTGTGGACTTTCCGGAACGGGGATTCTCGGGGTTTCGCGGATTTACGACTTCATTTTCAGAATCGGGACATGAGAATACCCTGAAACGACAAAAATCCGCAAGTCGAGAATCTGGGTGGACGGTGCCTTCAAATGTGTGAGTTAATTGCCTTGTTCCTTTTGCATAAGCCAGTAACATATGACTGTGTCTTGTTACGAGGGTTATCGCTTTATCCAGTCTCAGAGTTGTAAAATCAAGGCGAGACTTCACAGCTTCAGAGAGAGCTAGCCCGGTGTAACTTCCCATAGATTTTGGCAGACTTAACTTGAAGAGCAAGTTATTGCTGAATCATCAGAATGTTTGGTGAACGTTTTGATTTGCTTTGTTTTTGTGAAAAAAAAAACTACTGAACGGCGATTGAGTCACTACAAATGCTCATGCACCTCTCGAAAATGATATTAAAAAAACATGTGGAAGAATAAACCGGATGTGTCAAATATTTCCAAGTATAGAATTTGCAAATACCCATAGCAGCAGATTCCTCGAAGTTTCTCAGAAAGCAAGCGTACTATTCAAGCACCTTACAAAACCGGACCAAGTCTATTTATTGGCAGTCCCAAAACTAACCTCTATTTTCAAATAAATCAAGCTGTATTTGATTTTCAAAAGACTTAGGACACCATTTGATAGAGCAGAGCAAGCTCTACAAAAGGGTACCAGAGATCCAACTAAGTCGTAAGGAGAAATTTGGAGCCAAAAATTAAAATTCGTCAGCTACCCGGAAGTCGGATATCCTCCCAGAAAATTCTACGGACTTCTCTTTATGTAGTAGACACATAGTATTATAGTAACCAAAAATGCATTTGGTGGATTTTTTTGCTGGGCTTAACATAGAGAATTTTTCACCAACAATTTCTGAAAGTGGTCCAGAATTTGTAGCTGTTGTAAGATGAAAAGAGTATGACGATTTTTGCATAGTTTTCATGGAGTTTATAATGGCTTTCGAAATCATATTTGTTTTCTCTTTACCTCACTGTAATCATGATTATATGCAGGTATGAAACTCGAGTACAACGATATTCACAAACTCAGTTGATGCACCGTAAAGAAGCAAGTTTCCTTTTTCTGAAGCATTGCTGGTTGAGCAACAAGACGAGTTTGGCCGGTTGAGGAAATGTGATCCGTTAGTTTTTGGAGCGGACGAGGGCTAATTTATAGCCTGTTCCGCCAACTTCTAGAATTCTAGATAGCATTACCATTGCACTATGATATATAATATGAGTACAGCGGAAACAACTTGATTACTCGCCCGTTTTCGCTCCAGTCCCCTACCGCATACAAACATTTCGCTTTTCTCTTCGAAGTAGAAGACGTGGTGAATTTCTTCATACTGCTTGCTGATACTGTTAAACCTATTAATCCTGCATAAAAAATCGTTCATTAGCTATGGAAATATTAGTAACCTGCCTATGCGTCTCTCTACAATGGATACACTGGACAACTATTCATAGACCAAGGGTCGATCCCGCCCATAGGCTAACTATGCCCTCTACCCTCCGGGGCGGTAAATTGATACCAGAGTAATCTGGGCAGATGAAAGCACTGATTTGGTACTCTGCTGGCCCCCGCGAATCACTGTATTAGGCTCGCTCGCATACAGTTGCCTCTTCGACTATGGAGCAGAGTGCGTTCGGCGCATGCCCGCAAAGGGTACTGAAGACGCCAAATCCTTAATTCTTCTAATATAAGTATCTTATCATTTTTGACTTCTTCTTTCTGTATCGTCTTCCCTAAAATTAAGCTCACAATACGTAAACTATCAATTTCTTAAAGGATTTCATGCGTTGGGTGGGGAGTGTAGCTCCGTCACCTCTTGAGCAAGCTCACCAAAAATGCTGGCATTTGCCCGTTCAAGTATTTGTGCAAATTACGCCAAATTTTGGAAAGCTTGCCACTGAGGGGGCGAGACCTGCCTGATGGGGGCGGGTTCGAGACCAAAGTCGCTTGAGATGTTCGCCGTTATCCTTAACCTCTTCTATGCGCTTTGAGCACGATAAGTTTCGTGTAAACGATGACGGAGTGGGCGGAGTTTGCCAAAGAAGGGTGTTGCTAATATGACACACTTCTTAGCCTAGCTCAATTATATGAACACAAATTAGGACGACTAAACACATTAAAAATGAAATTCAGGGTGCTGCGCACCATTGCGCGGTATTGTCGTCGAAGTGTTGAAAGGAATGATTTTGTGGGTGTGAAGCTCCACTACTCGCAATGCACATTTAGCACATTGAATTAGGCATATTAGTCAATTGTGATGTCTATGAAGAAAGCATGTGTCTCCTTTATAAATTGAATGAAATTTATTTCAACCTATATTTTGGACTGAATAAATTGATTATGGAACTAGTGTCCACTAATGTGCGGAGACAGCGACAATCACTTTAACTCAGACGTGACATCGGTTCTAGTGTTCTTTACAGAGTTCGTTAGCCTTACTAGGAGACTCTTGAAAACTGAGCATGTACAGGGTGTCCGAAAAAGATGAAAAAAAAAACACTGTTTGATCGATAATAACTCCCTTGCTTTCATGTCTTCTACCAAGCTTGAGGTACCTTTCTGTAGAGCGAGGTTCAACTTAGATTTACAATATGAAGCGAATTATCAGTTGCTCTTCGTTACTGTAGGATTACGGTAGGAACTTCGAAGAAGCTTTTAAGCCACTGAAAGCGATATTTTGCTTCAGAAAGAAAGCCAAACAAGCCGGAAACTCTTGAACTAGGCTAATCGAAGTCGCTGATTCGAGATATAAGTTTTGCACTTCAGTATAGTGTTTCTTTCACTTAATCCAGATTGAGGGTAACAACTGTTTTTCCAATGTTCACCAGAAATGTGAATACTCTATCAAGAAAGCTCGAAAAACTGGTGAAAGGTTTATGTAGTAAAATCAGCACGCCTGAAAACCTTGCTAGACAAATTTTTAGATTTTTTTGAAGTTATTTCAACGAAAGGCCTATTCCACAGTGACGCTGTATGCTGAAAGTTCATACTGTAATGCCACAGTAATGAAGAGTGTTTGGGGATTCGTTGCATGCTAAAAATTTATGAATCTTGCTCTTCAGAATGGTACCTCAAGCTCGACAAAAGACATGGAAGCAAGAGAGCTATTAGCGATCAAACAGTGCGCACTTCTTTTTGGGACACTCTGTACAATTTCAGTTTTCATTCAAAATCATGTTGGCTGCCGCCAATAATGACCTTCGTGTTTTCGACATATGGAAAGATTTTCGCTGGCGCTTTCAAGATCTGAAACGAGTTCTCCTCTCTTGATTGGACCAGATGATCCAAAAATGCGAAAAATGGAGTAAAAATTTAGCTTTTTTCTTACTGAAATCCGATATACTACTTGAGGTGACGCTGTATTGCGAAAGTTCAGAGAAACAGCTTGAAAGCAAGAGAATCCAATACATCAGCAG